GCACAGTTAAAGGGCTCCACAGAGCTTTCTGCCAGAGTGGTGGTGCAGAGGTAGCCCATTTTCCCATCAATGTTTTATGTAACTATTTTTTTTTGTTGAAAATCGATACTAAGAAGTGAAAGATCGATATTATATTGGGCAGCCGAATATCCCGATATATCGCCAAAACGATTTTTTCCCACACCCCTACTGGGGATCAAACCGCCATCATGAAAAACAAATGTAGAGCAGTTCAACCAGCTTCAGTATGAATGTGGACTTTTATTGCTTTGTTTTTAGCATTTCCTCATGATTTGGACCCATTGTTCAAAATCAGTGTGACAGTGTGATTGATTATATTACTAAAAGTTTGCTTTTTTTATTAATCCAATATTTAATTTACTGAATCCAAGAGGAGATCATTTTGTTAACGAAACATAACAGTTTTCACTGAAAGAAGCAAAAAACATGTAGAAATAGATTTTCAAAATATGCTCAGAAAGGCAACTTAAATTGTCTCTTGAAAGAGCAAGTTTAAAGTAACATGGATTAATCGTGATTAATTGATTATTGAAATAATAAAATAATTGTGTAATCGATAATTTGTTTAATGGAGTATAGAGACTGTAAAACATGCCTTTAGCTGACAGAGCAACCCACTTAGAGCAGTAATTATATCAAAATTTCAAAAGAAGATAAATAAATATATACAAATATAAATATAAGCATTTTGCATTTAAGAGAAATGCTTTCATCTGTCAATATGCTCTATCCAGAACTTCTCAAATGGAATTGTTTTGGTTTCACCTGGTTTAATTTCGTAATAAATCTTCCTAATGGAACCTTTTTCTATCTGATTATTAATCGATTTATCGAAAAAATAAACAGATTCATCAATTTGATAATCATTAGTTGCAGTACAAGGTTCTTTATCCTAATCTTCAAGAAAGAACATTTCTTAGAGTCTGTGTACTCCAGTTAAAGGTTATCCAATCACTAAATTGATTGATTATTTCAATAAATTGACAAGACCTCATTCATCCCTCTAGATTAAAGGTAAGAGTCAAATATGTTATGTTGCCCAACACTCAGGGGAACTCTGGGTCACATGACTTTCAGTGATAGAGCCGACCCTCTCAGGTTACAAAGCTGAGGTTTGACAAGGGCAGCCCACATGGAGCGTTGATACATGCCAAGTACCACATAATACCCCGGAAAATAAGTTAAAAGTTCTAGCACTGCTATAAATCCTTAGCAGAAAGACATTCCCAGAAATTGAAAAAAATGCAAATAAATATTAACAAAACAGTATATACATGTGCTGTCTTTAAACATCAGTGCGATGATTTGTTTCTAATGACGTCACCTTAGAAACATGATTTTGGCAATAGCTAAAAACTGTTACTCAGGTCCTGGAAAAAGACCACAAACATTTAAGGCTCCTATGCCAAGATTAGGTCAAAATACCACTGATTAGAAGACACTACCTAACTTTCTCTTATGGTCATGTTCACCATGCATCTTTTATGCCTCTCTACAGGTACCATGCCGTAAGTGAGGCCCAGTGGTTTCAAGTGTGCAGACAGAGGAGTAATGGAGCGTGCATACAGGGATAATGATGGCAATGGGTGGGCCCAAGCTAAGGTGGAAGCACTGAGAGGATGCATTAGCCCAGCGTGATTGATCCCTTTCCCCCTCTCCTCTCTGATAATCCTTCAGGATAACAACAGATGGCTCAACGCCAGTAATACCACAAACTTGTAAGCTCACCACTCACCTTGAACTTTCCTTTGCTGACTTGTGGAGTCTGACTACCGGAAAGAGCCGCAATGCTAACAATGTAATGTTATTTGATGGGCTACATGTTTTCCACATATTCTTTGCTCAGACTGCAACCATCAGTGATCGTGAAGTCAAAGCACATGATTGCATTAGTGAAAACAACGGGTTCATTTTAAACATTTTCTACATTTCTTTAAATAAATACCCAATTTGCATCAACAATGCATACCTTGTAGACTGAAAGTGGAGGAAGAACAATTTATAGTACAAAGATGGGAGGTAATTATTATGGAACAACGCCCAAACCATGCAGGAATAGACTATAGTTAGAATAACCCAGCTTTAACACCCATGGGATACAGCATTAAACTTCCTCCTCCAGTTTTACTCTCCTCTGTATATCCACCCTGTTGTTCTTCTCCTCGTCGGTTTTTATGTTCAGTCTCCAGAGCTTAAAAGCGGTGGGAGAGAAATGATAAAAAACAGATGGACTGAGATAGCAGCACGACATGATTTGAAAGCTGGAAGACGGAAACAATGTGTCTACACTGTAAAAATCCTTTTTTTTTATGTGAGACAATGACAAACACATGCATGTCTCTTCAGGTTCTCCAAGTTTAACAAATCCCAGACAGGAAGTGAGGTGTGTGGGTTTTTTTTTTTCCTATCCCACAAGCACACATGATTTGTATATTTCCCCACTGTCCAACTCTCCTTTATGATATCATGTACAAAATGGGATGATGTGTAAAGAAGCTTATTTAAATTTTGTCCACCTTTCTGGCCCAGTGCCAGAGTTTATCTGCAATGAAATGGTATGCGGATAAAATCAGCAGTTGAAAAAAGTAATCTTCAAAAATCTAAAGTAAGCAACCAACACTAAACATTTCTAACTGATACAAGCTGTCTCCCAGCATGTGTAAGGCCACCAGGCTTTAAAGAGAAACTCTACTTCTCTAAGACTTGGACCACACCCTTTATTCACCACTCAGCCATGCAGTTCAGGCTGCCTTTTTTTAAAGCACACACAAACTGGCTCACTGTAGCTCTTAAGCAGGGAGCCAGTAAACAAACAAAACATTACAAATAACACTACAACAAAGCCACAGCAAATCCTGTCCATCTCCAACAACCAGTAAAACTGATAAAACCACGTTTCTCAAAATATCCACAATCGCGTGAGTCATTCCACAGAGGAATGCACCTTAGAAACCCTGAACCTCCTGTTTAACAAACACATTCCCTGTCTAACAGAATGCATTGTCTATGCAACAGGGATGGTTAAATCATAAAATCAGGAAGAATTAGCTGCACATGGAAAACACACAATTCGTCATACATCACAGGCTGACATAAAATTCATAAAAAATAAAAAAGGGGCTATAAAGATATAGACGTCAATAATTATTTAATGACACCTCAGCTGTCATCATCTTCTGAAAACAACAACTGTTCCTTAAAAGGCATTAGCTAACTCCAGCTGGCATGTTTATGACTTAAAGCTGGGAATGAATGTGTTGATAACCATCATCACCAATAATCTTCCACTCCTCGGTTATGTAAGAGTTACAACCAACTGAAACAATGCAAGGCACACTTTTGCTCGTAACTGGGCTACATTTATCGGATGCAGAACGCCGTGGATGAGATGTAGAAGCTAACAGGCTAACCTTTAGAGATGACTCGAGTCGCTAGCCGGAGAGCTAAAACCTAACCGCGGTAAAACTCTACAGCCGGTTCCAACAGTGAATTCGTGCAGTAAATGATTCAAAGCTGAAAAAAGTGCTTTCCTCACCCGAGTTAAAAGACACGTTGTTGGGTAAAAACTCCGAGAAGCACCAGACTTCCAAGTGACTGCGGCGACCCGTCTCCTGCCTGTGTGTGTCTGTGTGGTTTCGGTCCAGCCAAGGGCGGTAACACCGGAAGAGGGAAGACAAGGGCTCTGTGATTGACGTCGAAAGGAACCAATCAAAACAGAGAGTGTCGGGTATAAACCAATGGCAGAATCGGTCCCGCCTTCTCACAAATGCTTACATTGTAATTCATTTATATGCTTCTGTTTTACAATATCAGAAATATGGATAAAAAAATATATAATGCATTTTAGATGTATACATAATTTTCTCGTTGCGAGCACGAGGAGACCTGGAAGATTTAAGGCCAAACTAGAAAACCAGACAACCATCTCTTTTTAGATTCTGGTCCAATCCAACAGAAGGGTAAGTAGAAACCAACTTTATCACTTTATTTTCTATAGGCTTATGTCTATAATCTAAATAACACAGATTGAAATGTTTATAGCCTATCTTGTTTTCTATTATTCAGTGGACCTGGCACAACTACAGAAAATGACCACAGCGTTGACCAGTATGAACGTTCAGATATTGGAGAAACACAGATAAAAGGTATGATGATTGCTAGAAAATGTTGATAATGAGAAAACATTATCAACATTGTTGATTATTGATAAACAAGTTTTTTAAAGTTGCAAAGTAATGCAATTGTAGGAATACTTTAACCAGTAACGGGAAAGTTATAAAAATTGCAGTGTTTGATAAGTAATAAAAAGAGTGTACAATTAACAAAAATAAGCAACATTAGTTGCCATTGACATGCATACAATAGTTATTTTGTAGTGTGTATTTTTGGGTCTAAACCTGTACCACATGTGTTGTACTGTTAAAAATAAGAATGGTATCCTTTATGAAAACATTACTAACTTTTATCAATTGGTAAGGATCCAAATTAATGAATGCTCTAAGCACATGCTTGGAGTCTAAGGGAGTCTTGTTGACATTGTGATATGATAACTATTTGTTTTCAGTGCATTTAATATTTTACAATAAAAATACAATTTACTTTTAAGTAAATTCAGTTTTGTGCACCTGGTGATATGTGTTCAGTGAATTTAATAATTTACGATAAAAACACAACATTAAATTGTTTTTGTGGCTCCTCCTGAGATTACAAGGTACACCTGATCACAAAAATTATTTTCTTTTCCAGATGAACAACAAGGACCGTGTTTCAATGTAAAGACAACTGAAGAGCCGGCGCTCAACCAAGCGGATTTGCCCCAAACATCTTACGACGTAGGTTAGTAATAGTTGTATTTTTTTCAATGTCAAAACAAATAATTTTGTTTTTGTTTTACACAATTGACTTTTTTGCTTAATCTTGAAATCTTACATTTCATAATAATTATTTCATAATAAAGAAAGACTATACAAAAGCTTCATGTAAGCAGATTTACAACTCCACCAGCACCCATACAAAATTGACAATGTAAATATCAATGTTATTACAGATATTTTAAAGGCCAAGGACCGGATTAGTGAAATGGACGACTCTGGAAAATTCCAACTTCTTCAGACCAGAAAAAACCCCCCCAAATCTTTCAATTTCCA